TGGGTGGTGTGGGGGCATTGGGGGAAAATGGGGGGTGTGGGGACATCAGGGGGCATCAGGGGGGTGTGGGGACATTTGGGGACATTGGGGGGTGTGGGGACATCAGGGGTGTGGGGACAATGGGGACAGGGGGACATTGGAGGACGTGGGCCATGGGACTACGGGATACGGGCTATAGGACCTAGGCTATGCGGCCATGGGGGTGTGGGCTATAGGATATGGGCTATGGGGACATGGGATGTGGGGATAAGGGGGTTATGGGATATGGGGCTATAGGATACGGGATGTGGGGATGTGGGCTATAGGATATGGGCTATGGGGCTGTGGGGATCTGGGCTGTAGGGCCATGGGGACGTGGGCTATAGGATACGGGCTGTAGGACATGGGATGTGGGGATGTGGTCTGTAGGATATGGGCTGTAGGGTATGGGCTATAGGGCCATGGGGATGTAGGCTATAGGATATGGCCTATGGGGACATGGGATGTGGGGATATGGGGTTATGGGATACGGGGCTATAGGATATTGGATGTGGGGATGTGGTCTATAGGATATGGGCTGTAGGATATGGGCTGTGGGGCCATGGGGGCGTGAGGATGTGGGGCTCTGGGCTCTGGGGCTCCAGGATGTGGGATGTGGGAATGTGGTCTATAGGATATGGGCTGTAGGGTATGGGCTGTAGGATATGGGCTGTGGGGCCGTGGGGCCATGGGGATGTAGGGCTATGGGGATGTAGGGCTATGGGCTCGGGGCTCCAGGACGTGGGATGTGGGGATGTGGTCTATAGGATACGGGCTGTAGGATATGGGGCGTAGAATACGGGCTCCAGGACATGGGATGTGGGGATGTGGTCCATAGGATATGGGCTGTAGGGTATAAGCTCTAAGATATGGGCTGTAGGATATGGGCTATAGGACATGGGATGTGGGGATGTGGTCTATAGGATATGGGCTGCAGGATATGAGCTCTAGGATATGGGCTGTACGATACGGGCTGTAGGATATGGGTTATAAGATATGGGCTATAGCATATGGGCTATAGGATGTGGGATGTGGGGATGTGGTCTATAGGATATGGGCTGTAGGATATGAGCTATAGGACATGGGATGTAGGGATGTGTCTATAGGATATGGGCTGTAGGACATGGGCTGTAGGACATGGGATGTAGGGATGTGTCTATAGGATACAGGCTGTAGGACATGGGCTGTAGGACAGGGGCCGTGGGGCCGTGGGGATGTGGGTCCGTGGGGCTGTGGGGCTCCAGGACAGGGGCCGCGGTGCGGCGGTGCCGCAGCTCACCGCCCTCCAGCAGCCGCACTCCCAGCGGCGACACCTGCACGATGTAGCGGCCGTCGCCGATGTTCCCCGCGAAGATGGTGGGGCCCTGCGTGGCGAAGCCGCTGGTGTCCAGCTCCATGATCTCCTGGCCCGTCTGCAGGATCTGCGCCGCGGCACAACGGCACCGTGGCACCGGGGCACCTTGTCGCCCCGTCACCGTGTCACCTCGTCACCACGTCACCCCATCGCCATGCCACCATGTCACCCCATCACCATGTCACCATGTCACCTTGTCACCCCATCACCGTGTCACCCCATTGCCATGTCACCTTGTCACCTTGTGACCCCATCACCATGTCACCATGTCACCTTGTCACCCCGTCACCATGTCACAGTGTCACCATGTCATCTCGTCACCGTGTCACCCCATTGCTGTGGCACCATGTCACCATGTCACCTTGTCACCCCATCACCATTTCACCCCATCACCATGTCACCCCATCACCATGTCACCTTGTCACTCCATCACCATGTCACAGTGTAACTTTGTCACCTTGTAACCCCATCACCATGTCACCTTGTCACCCCATCACCATGTCACAGTGTCACCTTGTCACCCCACCACCATTTCACCCCATCACCATGTCAACTTGTCACCCCATCACCATGTCACAGTGTCACCTTGTCACCCCATCACCATGTCACCTTGTCACCCTGTCACCAGGTCACCCCTCACCATGTCACTTTGTCACCATGTCACCCCGTCACCAGGTCACCCCGTCACCATTTCACCTTGTCACCATGTCACCCTGTCACCATGTCACCCCGTCACTATTTCACCTTGTCACCATGTCACCTTCTCACCTTCTCACCATGCCATTTTGTCACCATGTCACCCCATCACCACGTCACCCCACTGCCACATCACACCATCACCCGATCACCATGTCACCTTGTGACTGTGTCACCTTGTCACCATGTCACCTCACCACCATGTCACCACATCACCCCACTGCAATGTCACCATATCACCATGTCACCCCATCACCATCACCACATCACCCTGTCACTTTGTCACCCCACCAACCCAACACCCTGTCACCCCAACACGCTGTCACCCCAACCCTGTGTCACCCTATCACTCCATCACTGTGTCACTCTGTCACCCCATCACCCCATACTCTGTCCATCATCCCAACACCCCATCACCCTGTCACCTCAGCACTGTGTCACCCTGTCACCCCATCACCGCGTCACCCTGTCACCCCATCTGTCACTTTGTCACCCCATCTCCCTGTCCCCCTGTTCACTTTGTCACTCCATCACCCTGTCAGTCACCCCAACACCTTGTCACTTTGTCACTACATCTTCCTGTCACTGTCACTCTGTCATCCTGTCACTGTCACACCATCACCCTGTCACCCCACCACTGTCACTCTGTCACTCCATCTCCCTGTCACCCTGTCACTCTGTCAGTCACCCCAACACCTTGTCACTCTGTCACCCCAACACCTTGTCACTCTGTCACTGTCACCCCGTCACCCTGTCACTTTGTCACCATGTCACCTCATCTCTCTGTCACCCCATCACGCCAACACCCTTTGTCACCCCATCTCCCTGTCACCCCATCACCCTGCCACTTTGTCATCCTGTCACTCCATCTCCCTGTCACCCTGTCACTTTGTCACCCCATCTCCCTGTCACCCCGTCTCCCTGTCACCCTGTCACCCCATCACCCTGCCACTTTGTCACCCTGTCACCATCACTTTGTCACCCCATCTCCCTGTCACCCCATCTCCCTGTCACTTTGTCACCCCGTCACCCTGTGACTTTGTCCCCCTGTCCCCGTCCCCCCGTGCCCCTCACCATGGTGGAGTCCTCCCTGCTGAGGATGAGGAAGCCGTGCCGCTGCCCTTCGTCCTCGGGGGGGTCGGGGGCCGAAGGCTCCTTCTCTGCGGGGTCAGCTGCAGCGCTGGGCTCTGCCTGAGGGACAGGGGGACAGGGGGACAGATGGACGGGGGGACAGGGGGACACGGGGATGGATGGACAGGGGGACAGATGGACGGGGGGACATGGGGACATATGGATGGGGAGCAGGGGGACAGATGGACGGGGGACATGGGGATGGATGGACAGGGGGACAGATGGATGGGGGGACATGGGGACAGGGGGACGGGGGACAGGGGGACAAGGGAACAGCGTGACAAGGGGACACAGGGACAGACAGACACAGGGACAAGGAGGCAGAGGAACAAG